TAATCCTTGCGAATTTTATGAGATAACCGAGTTATTTACGATGCAAACAGTTCCTTACAATTGCGCGATAAGAAGGCAGATATGATATACGATGCTTTGCTTTCAATGAGAGAGTATAAAGTCGGGACGCAGAAACGCACGAGTTCTCTGTCTTTACTCCGCGATAAGAATATTTATCTTTCAGATTAAAGCCAAATGTGACAACGAGCAGGTGTCACATAGGTGTGTCGCAACAAAAGACGCGTGGATTATGCAACGAGTGTGCCGTCGTACCGTGAATATACAACATGCTTATCGGCTGCACAATAGAAACGTATACAGGAGGAAACGAGGGTGAAAAAAAGCATGCTCGTGCGGAAAGAAATGCGGCATTTCTTAGCCGCGCCGACGACGGTTGTCTGACGGGCAATAAGCCGTGTCGCGGAAGCGAATCAGCAATGCAACGATATAATTGTTACGCAATTGCGTAAAAGAACGCGTTAAAAACCTAACGAAACATGTGTAAAACGCTGCCGCGACATTAATAATGACGTCGAACCGACTGACCGTGCAGAATGGGCCGCGATTTGCAATTGAAAGCGTTTCTGCCGCGTAAGCTACCTCGCGTAACAACTGATTAACACCGAGCCGAATAAATTAATTGAAATCACGATAAACGGCTCGTTCGTGAAAGACGAAAAAAAAAATGAAATGACTATCGCGGCTCCGGCGACGCAATTAACTGTAGGCAATTCTCGAATTAGCCACCGCACCGATTGCCGGAGCACCGTGTTATAGCACGCTCCCATTTCGATTATCGACATACGGAGCTGCTATCAGTGGCGCGTTCGTAATCGCTACCGCGGAAAATCGATCGCGCAATCCACGCGCGCTTTTTTTTTTTGCGTTCTCGCGATCGCGAGACACCGCGCCTGAATATACATGCCCTCGCGCGTTTACGTTATTTAATCGCGTGCCGCGAATTATTTTGCACTCTTCCGGCGAAGTTGTGCAAACTCCTCACGCAGCTACAGCGACGGGTGGGTGTGAAAGGTGAGCGCGGCGATGTCAACACGCGTGACCGATAGGCTCCCACTTTCCTAACAAGTGTCACAACGGCAGAAATTTTGTTTGTCCTCGCACGAATATCGTTGCGCAACAAAAAAAAGGCCTGGCCTGGCGTTATCGTCAGAGTCGTTGCACCTTATCGTTTTACGGTGTCGTTACAACGGCGCAAACACGCAGTGAATGTATAATGGCCATACTTTACTGCTGCACGCACACGCATCGCAGTGCCAACGCCGTGCCTGCTTTACGACGTTTCGAGCGATTTTCATTGTTTTCCATATCTTTACGTCGCGCTTTTACAGAGCGCACCGTGTGGCAAGCGCCAGGATTTTACACACATGTATCAATAAATCGCGATTGATACTGGATACGTACGGTACATTAAATATTCAACAGAATCCCACAGAATCCCTGTGTTCATAAATCACGTACTATTGTATTGAAATTTAATACCAGAAAATAAAATTATGAATTTAAAGTTCCAAATTTAACATGATATAATTAACAAAATCTCCTTTAATTTCAATAGAAATTCTTTTTTGATTATATAAACTGTACGATAGGTTAATAAAATTTTTGATATCTGCTTAAAAGAAATATCGCGCTTAAAACTAAGATGTCGCAGTAAATCGGAAAAGAAGTTAAAAAAGAAAAATATATACTTCCTAATATATAATATATGTATATAAATAGGTATTGCAATTACAGCTCTTTCTGCTATTTGAAATTTACGTAAAAGGTTCAATCGGGGAAGAAATTTGCAGCAGGAAATAATTATCGTCTCTGTATATATTATTAGAATCTATATTACCTACTGTACGGAACATATTGATCTACGATATCTATCTAAATTGCTGAAAGATTATTGATCTAAAGAAAGGCTTTCAGCCTCAGAGGGAAATCGAGAGGAGAACCGAATAAATGTAATTTCTATAGCCGTGCGAATAGTTACGCATACTCGCGAGAGTATTTCTCTAACCGCAATACTGCAACGAGAGATCCATCGATCCTCTTCGATCTCTCACGAACCGTGAGAGATTCCTACCATTCGACTTCTCTCGGCGCCTCGGGGTATTATCGGAGTGAAAATAAAGGCGTCGCTTTATTATATCGTTAGATGAGTGTTGTTACCATCGGGTCGTCATGAAATTCGAGACGTGCAAAGTGTCGAGCGATTAAATAAATTCCCTTCCGTCTCGCACCGTACCTCTTCCCGCCTATGAAGAAATCCGAAAAAAAAGTAAATCCTTCGTGTTACGACGATCATTTGCTAAAATATCACTTGGCTGACAACAAATATGTAAATAGTGTAGATTTAACTGGTTGACCGAGTACGTATAAATTAACATACAAATGCTTACATTTAATGATTCCGCTTATTATAAACAACAAATTAATAATGAATTTAAATCGCTGAGACACGATAAGTTGCGTCGGGACTGTTGTACGTTCGCCATCCGGCGCAAATGTTTCTACATCGATGGGAAAAGAATCGGATAGAGGAATGCCGTAAAATATTAAGTAATAATCTCTCCGAGAATCCGAGCCTCCTTTAAGCGCCGTCTGAGGCGATAAAATATCGTCAACCGTGACGCGATGTCGTTATTAAAGCGGCTGCTAAATTGTTGAACGTAGCTGCGGGATTTATCATTGCGGACGGGATGAGGCAGAAAAAAGAGAGAGAGAGAGAGAGAGAGAAAAGCCTGGGGACGCGCCATGTATATGAATTAACAAGATCCACTTAATTAAGGAGTCGCGGTACCACGCATTAACGGCTGTTACGCATCGCTTCGTCCGGTCGGGCCTCAAAGACCTTTAAGGCCCTCTTAAAACGACTTCTAATTATTCACTTTCTCCGCAGCGCAACGACCGGAATTTACGGGCTCGCGTCGCGGTCCATGTAATCTCCCAATGATACTTTTAACTGCGAGAACGACAATAATTCGTTAATCGAGATAATCTGAAAGCTGTCGTTCACTGAGTCGTTCTTCTTTCTTTTATGACAAGCGCGCTTTACGGAGACTCGAAGTAATGGTAATAGAAAGCGTTTATTACTGCCTTAAAGGCCCTCCAAGGACTACGGAAAATGCACGTTATAAATCTGACCATTTGTATTGTAGATAACAAATATCGATAATAAATAGCTAGCAGTGTTCATAGATAATTAGATATACACAGGTAATTTTAATAATACTCTTAGTAAGAGTAATATAAAAGTTTTTAAATTATATTAGATGTTATACAATTAAATATGACATAAAGTTGTGTGTGGGCGTATAAAATCATTTCCTCTTACAAATCTCCTAATTCTAATATATTATAAATTTTTTATGTAGAGTCAAATATAAACCTACCTATATAATATCAAAGATTTAACCAAATTTATGATACAACTTTATAGCGTTTCCATCGGATAGAACTATTATCGAATCTCACCATGCGGCAGCGCTCCGTGAAAGCGATCCTATTCGCGATAGCTACTGAGAAACCTTAGCAAAAATTAAGGCGGTCGACCTGTCATAGAAACATCACGCGACAGATTATCGCGAGCGAGACCAAGATCGAGGCCAAAGACGGTCACCATGAGAGACCACTTTCTATTCGCCGGCAATGTACAAGACGTATACGAGCTCGATACATGTCGGTATAATTATCGATCGTGTAAATCTCGGCTATAATCAAGAGTAACCTGCGCCTACGGACACACAACTGCGAGCTATAGGAAATTACGCTTTCTTCTCGCGGTTTCTTCTCAACCTTGCCGAATAGTTCGATTCGTAAAGTATACACCGCTAATGATAATTGCATGACGCGATATTCCGAAGTATTACACGGAACTCGTAATACGGTGAGAGATAAACGCAGAGTTTCGCAATAACTGAAAGGTTATTGTTGATCCTCGCGATAATAATCAACAACATCCAGCTTGACATTTCCATCATAATTCAAGAATATCGCGGAATGACGACCACTTTTTCTTAATTAATAGGCAATCGCTCTATACGTATATACTTGCAGCGAGAGCCTCGCACGGTTTTTCTCCGAAAGGTTACCCCGCGCGTATTCCCAATCGCGCAGCGACATCGCTGTACAAATTATTATTACAATTTTTGTCAAATTATTCAATTTTCCTGCTCGACAATTGGGCCTTTGCGATTAACGGTACCGTCCCCGGATTCCCGACACGCCAATCAAGTAGCACATGTCGCGGGTGCTTTGACAGAGAAAATTACAACAGCCGTCGTTCCCATTAGACGAGCATAAATCATACGACCGACAGCTTGGCGAGCCGTCGACACATCCGTGTTTCTGCATTTCTCAGCGAGTCGCCCGCAATCAGCGTCTCTATAAAAACGCCTCGATAGGCGGTATCGAAAAAATTGCGATTCCTCGATGCGCGCATCGAGATGACAAGAGGAAAAAAAAATACACAGACAAGAAATCGTATATCCGTACAAAGTGTTAACGAGCGTATATTTCATATCGGAGAAAGTTTAGAAAGGAACAACATTCGTGCGCGCCGTCATAAATGTAAAATAAAGCCGGAACGACTCCGTTTTACGTGTTCCTCGAAGTCACGTTTTCGCGAAATGAACCGCGCGCGCGCGCGCGCGAATCACCTCGCACGAGACCGTGGAAAAACGTATTGCGCGGAGGATACGGCGCTTATCCTCACTTTCTCGATAATGAGCAAAATTGCGCGGCGGCGGCGGGCCCGATCCACATCTCACGGTGTGATTTCCCGCGATCGATAGGCTCGATCGGCTGATAACGCGTCACGTAGCCCGGAGCATCGAAACGGAAGTGATCGATGGAGTCGATCACGGTGCGCGCACTTCTGATCGGCGATTAAGAATATCTTTCCTTCGTCTCAGCGGTGTAATTCAATGCTCGCCCGGGATCGCAAGGGATTAGGGCTTCGTCCCTAACGAATTGATAAAAACGAGACATACCTTCGTCCGATTCAGCGGGTTTGAAAAATCCCATCCGGGCGCGACGAACAGATATCCACATTTGGAAATTTTCCTCGTTGCCTGAAACAAAAAAGTAGTTCACATTAGATAATCATTGTCCTACTTTTAATTTTCTACTTTCTTCAAAATAATACATTAATTTTTGTTAGTAAAAAAATAGGATTGTAAAGGATTCAGCTTCAAAGTTAAATGAACCGAGGTTTCATAAGAAAATAGTTACATTATAAAACATTATATTATAACATAATTTGATGAGATTATCAAGATATTTAGCACTGAGAATTAGTAAGCCGTGAAATTATAATGTACGTGTGATTAAATTTTTCCAAAAAAAAAAAAAAACTTCTGGCTTCTAAGGTTGATAAAAAATTTCCTGGACCGGAAAAATAAGTGGTATACAATAATTTCCTAAGATAGAAGTAATATTAAAGGCCGGAGATGGAGTAAAAGAAACGAATCCGATATGCCAGCGCGTTATTATGACGCGGCCTCGATTTCACGAGGTAGAGACCGATTTGTCGGCGTTATAGAGGGCTCCTTTTTCTATCGCAGGAAACGCGGGTCAAAGATCGAGAATAAGAAATAGTCTCGCCGGCGTCCACATCGCGTCCACATAAAATAACGTTCTGTCGGAGGGGAACTAGGAAGCTAATCAAACTTTCAAACGGGGCGATGCGCGTTTTATCCAGTGATTCCTTCACCAAGTCTGTTATTATTGTTCGGAGGAGGAGGGTTCCGAATACTCTAGTAGAAACAGGATGAAAGAGAGAGCCGGGGTGAGGTGAGACAGCGCGGCCGTTCACGTGGAAACGATAGCCACGTGAATGGAAACCTATCTCCAAGGAATCAAAAGCATCGGGCATTCATCAAGTGTATCGAGCATTCTCACCGGTCGCCGCATCGCGCCGTTTCCATTCTCAACACATTCGTTTTGTCCGTTTTCTCTCTTTTTTTTATATTTATTAACGCGCGTGCACGTAGCGCTGCGGTATTACAAAAATAAAGAGAATCGTCCCGTGCGTCGCTAAATCTCCATTTCTCGAGTGCTCTTTGTCCTAATTTGACTGAAGCGAATGCAAATACACAGGCGGATACGTGTCACATCAACGGCGGTTTCATTAAAGGAGATTTATTTAAATAGGAGCACACTAAATTTTCAACACACATATACAATTGTCTTAATGTAATCGTTGAATTTCGTGGCAATTGCGCAAATGTATACGAATAATAAAACTCAGAACATAGTAACATTCATGTATTTGTAGAAATGGAAATAAAGTTTCGAAAAATTTAACTGTAATTTATTTAAAGAGACTTACAAGATAATTTTAGTCAGAGAGACGCTTGTCAATTTTTTTAAATCATATAATTTTTTTTTATGCGTCATTGCTTGAAAGTGTTTTTGTCGAGAACTCGAAAATTACCGTCAACTTCAAGCCGAACGCCGCCGTGTCCCCCATTATTATATACATTTACATAACGCGAGCAATCAAATTCACATTTGAGGCGATTAACCTAACAAAATGCGATGTATAATCATGTTACAATTGGAGTACGAAACGTCGACTTAAATAAATCTACGTCTTCGGCAACTTCGGGACTTTGCACGTTCACAAGTCCGCGCGGTTCAAAGACGCGAAAGCGCTTATCCGCGGCAATCAACGCGCAATAATTTGGCACTCGTTATATCCCCGTGGTAGATATAATGCCGCGTAAATAATGGCTATCGTATCGCGTTTACACGATGGAGCGGCGTGGCCGTACCGGGCAAAAAGGCCGCTCTCGCGAAGAAGTAATACGTCGTCCGTTCTCGTTCGTCCGACCGATCTCCCATTGCGTGGCAACCTCGAAACAAGGCGATCATCTCTCGCTCGGACGCGAGGACCGGGGCAAGAACGAGAATTCGCTCGGCTTTATGGAGAAATAAAGGCGCAGGCTATACTCCGCGAGAGCGAGGCGTTCCTTCCGCGCCTCTTTCCTTTGGGAAAATTATGGCGCTTCCTTGTACAAACTAAACGAAAGAACGTCGAGCATTCGATAAAAATGCTCGATGCCTAAACATAGGTACGCCGAAGCCAGAAAACAAGCAATCCAGAATTGTGGAGTAAATATACACGGGGCAGAATTGCAAAAGATTTTTAAGAAATTTAAAATTTTCCGTAACTAAACTTGAGAAATTTAACAATCAAACTAATAAAACTTTAAGTTAAATGTTATTTTAACAAACTTATAATTTAATAATTATAAACATACATAGAAAATTTATAATTGACACTACATAATTTTTTTCTCGATATTTTTACGAAAAAATCAATTAAAAATTGATTAAAGATTTCATAGATAAAAGATACATTTTCTTTGGTATTCTATTTGAATGTAATTGTATAGATCTTCCGAAATATAAAGCTAATTTTATATTCATCTTATTGTTAGATGTAAAAACACGGCCTTATACTAAAAATAGATCTCACTAGATACAACTATTTCTCATTAGTAGATCAAATCTTCCTTTAAATAAAAATACTTGGTATACAAAAAAATCACCGTGAAAGGATTACAAGACTTGAATCTTCTCTCGATTCGCTGGGCTATGTACATCGCGAACATCGCGAGTAGATAAAAACAGCGACACTTTCCACGCTAATTCATGTACAAGAATGTCAAACACCGGATTCACGGTCCAGTTGTCTCGGTCGGCCGTGATCACAGTCGCTGTTTATCGAGAAAATGTTTGCGAAAAGCGCAAGGCTAATCGAAAGTCGCCCAACGATCGGTACGTGATAACGCGCTCGCGAGATGCGCGTCGCGGATCAGCGGTGAGAGATTTCCACTTTTTCGCCGACCGAATCAATTTCACTGGACACTGAGTGCTTACGCTCTGTTTAACCGCTTTCCGTCCGGCTCGTACGATTTCCTGTCGCTCGTCGCACATTCACAATTAACTTCCGGCGTGTTGATTGTCACGTACCGGCAGCGTGAGCTTAGCGAACCATAAATCGCCCTTGCTACAGCAATATCGCCGGACACTAAAACGCATCGGCGAGAATCGTTATGAAATGATTTCCAACGGAGGCGATACACGCGGTATAACAAGCTAGCAATATTTTTATCCGTCTATATAATCTTTTCATAAAATAAATTTCCGAAGTGAACAGGATATCCTTACAACCGCCGGATGAAATTGCAGGGGCACATTCTTGCAGTAGTTTCAGTACGGTAATTAAGATATTAGTCATTCGAGACGTAGTATAGATTGCATTAAAGTGGAAGTATATTTTATAAAATCTGCTTCTCTCTCTCTCTCTCTCGCGCACGCGCGCGCGGCCTTCAATCCCATGTTCAACACGAGCATGCAAATTAGCCAATAAATCTGCGTAGTTAAAGGGACACCTCGCATTACCAATTTCGAGAGATTTCGATACGGAAATTTTCATTCGCATCACAATTTATCACGCTAATTAGGGGTACAGGGCTTCGACGGGTTCGGCGTCTGTCACGGCTCTCAATCGATTTTTTCACGCCTGGCGAGAAACTGCCCGTCCGATATCGTACCGCGCTTCTGCCGAAGCGGTCCATTAAGGATAATTCATGTGAGCTCTCTGTCTCTCTCTCTCTCTCTCTCTCTCTCTCTCTCTCTCTCTTTCTTTCTCGCGCGCAGTTCAACAAATGTGACTATCGCGACGTTACGCAATCGGAGGCACTTGTCTCACAATTGACAATAATTGGACAACAGGTCGCTCGGGCGGACCGCTTCCTTCTGGTCGTCCTTGACACGCTTCGCGGGACGGAGTCCTTGCCAGTCCTTAAGCTCGAAACAACAACGTGACCCAGATCGCGATGGGGGCCCACTATACGTTTCTAATCTCTAATAAGGCCGACATAAACGTGCCCCCGCGCAAGCGGCTGGCGTAGGTGCTGAGAGAGCGCGCGTTCACGACCGATCCTTTCGACCTTTCGAAGGCGATATCGCGCCGCGAGCGCGCGGCGAAACGACCGGGCAACAACGAGGCGCACTGCACCGAGCTATACTTTATTAAGGCAATTAAAGGTCCGCCGCCGCCACGTTCGCCGCCTCGTTAGCCAAACAGAGCGTGTCGCGAGCGATGCCAGCCCAATAAGAAAATCCCGTTGCACGCATTAACTCGCCGCCGGCATTCGATTCCTATATACGCCTGGAATGCGAAAGCACCGCTCGGCGATGGCTACAGGATTTCGTCGGAAATACATCTTTTCCACGAATCCCTCCTTCCCCCGAGGGCTTGTTCCGGAAATATTGCGGGGCCCGTCACGCAAATAGAATTTAAAACTTCCCCGCCGTTCTCTGACTTTCCAAACTTTAACAAACTTATAAATAAACTAACACAAAATAGTAAATTTCTCGCGCCTAATCTTCATTAATTGAAAACTCGTTTAGTTTTCATAATTGTTACGCTTCAGCCGGAACAAAAAAGTTAAGACTAACAATAAGTAGAGCAAAACTTCAAAGGAAATCCAAAAATAGAAACTATATTAATATTTATTATATTGTAAGATAAAGATCGTTGAGCAATTAAACGAAAGTATGAAATATATAATGCGGAATGTGTTAATCCTCAAGTAAATATAAAACACATATGAAAGTAAACTCAATTTCAGTTCCAAAATGAAGAGAGTAAAATTGGCGTGAAAAATGCGAGGAAAAATGTTTACGTTTTAATACAAATCTTTATCATCCAAAAGAATTTTGACCAACGTCGCTTCCGATCCTATTCAATTACGAAACAGTTTTCTATATGCTTTTAGAAAAATAATTCGTAAATTCCCTCATCCCGATAGTTTTAGGAAAACTTCATTTCTCGCTCAGTAGGAAAGTCGCTCTGGCTTCGCCAGGTCGGCACGGCGATGCATATTCGCGTGTTACGCACCGAGGAGGAATCCCACGCGTCTCGTCGGCTGCATATCCCACATCCGGTACCCGCTTATCGAACCTCTCCCCCCGCCCCTCCGTACGTACTGGAAACCTGTCCCCACCTCGGCCGTGAGACGATGCAATCGCGTCGATCGGGAACGAGGAGGTAGGA